AGTTACTGAAGAAAGATTAAGTAGTGAAGTGGAATAACGATTGTCAGATATCATTCGACAAAATTAAGGAGTATTTCCAAGAACCTCCAATTCTGATGCCACCGGTTGAAGTAAGACCTTTGATCATGTACTTAACAATATTAAAGAACTCAATGGGGGTGTGTATTGGGGCAACATGACGAGTCTGGTCGAAAAGAGCAGGAAATATACTACCTTAGCAAAAAGTTTACCGACTGTAAAATAATATTCTCACTGCTCGAGAAAACTTGTTGCGCTTTGGCATGGGCTACTCGCCGACTAAGACATTATATGTTGACTCGTACTTCTTTGTTGATCTCTAAGATGGATCCAATAAAATACATATTTGAGAAATCCGCTCTCTCCGAAAGAATAGAAAGATGGAAAATGATCTTGATAGAGTACGACATTCAGTACACTACTCAGAAGGCAATCAAAGGAAGTATACTGGAAGACCATTTGGCTCATCAAGCTGAAGATGACTATTAATCTATGAATTTTGAGTTCCTTGATGATAATATCATGCTACTTACTAATTATGAAAAACCTGAACCGGGATACCGATGGGCTATGGTTTTTGATGGAGCTTCCAACATGTTTGGTAATGGAATTGGGTTGTGATTGTCTCTCCCAAGGGTTGTCATACGCCCTTCACTGCCAAATTGTGTTTTGACTGTACCAAAAATATGGCCGAGTACGAAGCATGTATCATGGGTATCAAAGCTTCCATCGATATGAGAATTAAATTCTTGAATGTATATGGGGACTCAACCCTAGTAATTAGTCAGATTAAGGGAGAATGAGACACGAAACATCCAAATCTCATTCGTTATCGAGAGCATGTGTTGACATTAATTCCTTACCTTGAAGAAATCACATTTGAACACATTCCATGAGAAGATAATCAATTGGAAGACTCACTAGTTACCATGTCATTTATGTTCAAAGTCAGATGGGATAATGAAGCTCCCCAAATTACTATTGAGAGACTAGACGAACCGACACATTACTATGAAGTTGATATTGATGGAGTAGAGGAAAAGCCTTGGTACCACGAAGTAAAAAGATACATCGAAAATCAGGAATACCCTGAAGGAGCATCAATCAATGATAAGAAATTTCTAAGGAGGTTCTATACCAAGTTCTTTCTGAGTAACAAAATCCTGTACAAGCGTAACCACTATTCGAATTTGCTTCATTGTGTAGACAAGAAAGAAGTTGAGAAAATTATGGAAGATATGCATGAAGGTATCTTTAGTACTCACTCCAGTGGATATCCAATGGCTAAGAAGATTCTGAGGGCAGGTTATTATTGGTCTACCATGGAAACCGATTGTCATCACCATTCCAGAACTTGCCACAAATTCCAGATTTATGCTGACAAAGTACATGTGCCTTCAGTTCCTTTGAATGTTTTGAATTCTCCCTGGCCGTTTGCAATGTCGGACATTGATATGATTAGAGAGATTAAGCATACTGCTTCTAATGGGAATTGTTTTATCCTTGTCGCTATTGATTACTTCACAAAGTGGGTAGAGGCAGCCTCCTTTGCTTCCGTTACCAAGAATGTTATGGCTCGATTGATTAAGTATAACCTTATCTTCCGGTATGGTATCCCATAAAGGATCATGACATACAATGGTACCAACAATACTATGATCACAGAACTTTGCACCCAGTTCAAGATTAAGCATCACAATTTCCCCATACCGACCAAAGATGAATGATACAGTGGAAGCCGCCAACAAGAACATCAAGAAGATCTTGCAGAAGATGACAGTGACATACAAAGATTGACATGAGATGTTACCATTTTCTCTTTATAGTTATCACACTTCCGTACGTATATCAACCGGGGCAACCCCGTTCTCTTTAATCTACGGTATGAAGGTTCCATTACCTGTTGAAATCTAGATTCATTCCCTAAGAATTATGAAAGACGTAAGTTTAAATGAAGACGAATGGATTCAGACTCGACTTTACTAGATAAATTTGATTGATGAAAAAAGGCTTGCGCTTGTTTTTCATGGTCAGATATGTATTAGAAATGCATGATCATTGCCTTTAACAAGAAAGTCAAACACCAGGTGTACCAAGATGGTGATTTGGTATTAAAGTGCATCATCCTACCACAAGGTGATCCCAAGGGAAAATGGACCCTAACATATGAAGGGCCATTTGTGATCAAAAAGATATTTCCTAGCGGTGCAATGATACTTACCACCATGGACGGTGAAGATTTTCCACACTCTATGAACGCGGACATAGTCAAAAAATACTACGTATAAAAGAGACCTGCTAGGTTAATAGGCCTAGGAAAAAATAAGGGAATCCCGGTGAACCAAAAGGGTTCGGGAAAAAATTAGGGACATATATATAAAAAACTTGTACATCCGACAAGTCGAAAACCTGAAAAGACGGCTTGGCCAAAAAAGGATATCCCGATGGACTGAAAACCCAAAAGAGTGGTCCAGGAAAATGTTAGGGATTAAAGTGTACGACTATGTCCCGTTGGATCACCCATCTACTTACAACCAACTTTATTACTAGCATCAAGTTCAAACGGTACATATCAAGTCAATCATCTTCGTTCTACATCAAGGGATAAGATACTTGAAGATATAGGGGAAATAGGAGAGTTGAAACTCGATGGGATCGTTTCCACATAACTGTTTTTCCTTGTTTTTCTTTTTTCCATTCTTACGATGACTTACTCTTACTACGATTTCTGTCTCATTGTATAAAATTGTCTTCTTATAGGCAAACTTCCAGATTCAATGCAAATATATTTCAAAATTCAAAGTTGTTTTTACTTTCTCTGTTTTGTTTTCAAAAACGTCCAATGATTACGTTGAATGAACATATGCATTTGAATATGATTATTGTTTATAAAATATATGCATGAAAACATGATTAGCATTTATTAAAGACTCTAGGAGATAGAATAATATTCAAGTTATCCACAAATCCCCACAGAGCAATCTCCATGGAACTATCTCTGTAGAGCTATCTTCACAAGCTCGTCCCCAACAGAGATATATTCCTTAACAAATATAATATATCCTCAGACATAAATTGGGGCCTCTTCCAACAGTCCACCTCCATATCCCTGATGGATAGCTTGACATGATCATCCTCTCCAATAGGCCCCCTAGCAGATAAGGAAGTTGAATCATTTCCCCAGCATACAGTGGAAACTTCCTCAGCATAATCTATGAATTTCCAATCCCCATCAGAGATTATTTCCTTAATGTAGTCTACATAATCTAATTCCCCAACAGAGTTTATTTCTCTGATACTACAAATTCCCTGACAAAATTCTCTTCTCCATCCAGATATCATTCAACGTTGCTCTCTCCAGAAGAGTTGACATCCATATCTGAAACTTGGTCAAACAACACAACAAAGGATTATCCATCTCTTTTATCCCCAGTCAGGATACATAATAATCAAATCCTTTAATAAAAAGAATGAAAAACGACCGACTCTCCTGGAATGCTTCTATCCCCAAGAAGAAGTCGAAGATCCACAGTGGAGTTTACACTCCGCACTTTATTTTTTTGTATATTTTACTGCTAGTAATTAGGGTTTGTATGACAAGATTAAAAAGAAATTTAGAAAACCCAAATTTCCAAGATAAATAGCTGAAAACAAACACTCTTCACACTCGCACCTCTAGGGTAACCTCTCTTATTGCCTTACGAATATTGGTCATGTCTCTCGAAAGTGGAGATACTTTAGCAAAGGATCCTCGATTCAACAATATCATCATGGTCCCTTTTGAATAAAGATCATAATCCCTCGATGATCCTCCGAGTTGCCTACAAAATGATCTAGTCCCTCGATGATCCTACGAGCAAAATGATGATAGTCCATTCGATACAATTGCTAAAGTATCCTTACATGTTGCCTTCGATGACCATACGATGACCCCACACATCTCCCTTCACATCCAATAGATGAGACTACCTACTAACTAATGGTATGGATAATACTATTTCTAAAGGAGAAGGAAAATAACAAGAAAGACCTTTAGTGAGTAAGAACTCCTAATCATTTGCTCACAACCTTTCCCAAACATATTTCATATCACTTTCAAACAAATATTTTCAAAAAAAAATACTTTGTATACATTCTTGAAGACTGATACAAAAATCATTACAAGGTTAGCCTTCCATTGGCAGTTTCAAAATATTTTCAAATCAAATACGCAAAATAATTTTTCAAAAGTGAGCTAAGCAATTAAGATCTTTCCTATTCACCTTTCTTAAATATTGAATAAAAGAAAAATCCATCGAAGATCTTTCCTATTCACTTTTCTTAAATATTGAATAAAAGAAAAATCGATAACGACTCTTGCTATCCACACATTTGAATAAAACCAAAATAAATAAATTCTCCTACCGTATTACAGCGTGAAATTTAAGAGAATATATAAAAATGCAATAAAAAATTGCTTGTTATATCAACTCAAATTTATTTTCGTATAATTCCAATTTTTGTGTAGCTTTTTTCTCTTTCAATATATTATCCTTATTTAAAAAGAAATTCTAAAAAATTATCCGGTCGAATATTTATGTCCTTGGTGCCACATACGTCAATTCTCACATAAGCAACGACATTAGGTAGTAGCCACCAGTTTGACGTAGAATTTAAAATATAAATTAAACGAACCAACGACGTGAATTTTCATTACAATATTCATCCTCACCCAATATTTTCCCATTAAAGAAAAGCAGAAACAAAACACCAAACAAGGAAAACAAAGCAAACTTGTTCCACTAAAAGACATCATATATTAGGTAGGTTCAAAATATACACGCGTATGCACAACTGTTCCTTATAGTACCTCACCATTTCAACGTGTCGCTCTCTAGTTTTGCATGTCACTTTGTCTTTTACTTAACATATTCAATCAATTCTTCAACAAGCTTCTTGTAGCTTCTCCTCTTTTTATGAGTGGCTCGTTTCGGTTTCTCTCTATGTCGGTTCATCATTCTCTCTCTGTTTTTCTCAGCAAAAAGATGTTTTCCGATGTTCTTTTGTTGCTGTTGTTGGTGAGTTTGCACGGTTCAGTAGCGAGACCGGACCGGTTAAAGTGGGAGCCGCTGATTAGATTACCGGGTGAACCGGTGGAGGATGAAATTGGAACCCGATGGGCGGTTCTTGTGGCCGGTTCGAATGGTTACGGAAACTACAGGCACCAAGTGGGTTCATTTTTTTTTTCTTTTCAATTTTTAATTATATTTTTTCGTTTACTTTCTAAAACTAATTAATTAGTTAATTGATGTGATGTTTTTTTGTTACCCGTTGATTCAGAGTTGCTTTGTTTTTTATTTGATTTGATTTACAGGCAGATGTGTGCCATGCATACCAGTTGCTAATAAAAGGTGGAGTAAAAGAACAAAATATTGTGGTGTTTATGTACGATGATATTGCTTACAGCGAGTTGAATCCTAGGCCTGGGGTTATCATCAACCATCCACAAGGACCCAATGTTTATGCTGGCGTTCCTAAGGTACTTAATAGTATTAAATATGATCAAGTCAAGTCATTTTGTTTCTAGTTTGGACCACTGAAAAAGTTTTTTATTTATATTTTAGAGGCAATTTTTTTATTATTAAAATTGTTAATTTAAAAATAATACTTTTGATTAAGAGTTTATATCTATCAAACTCAACTACCTCACCCACCATTTTAAATAGTATGAGTACATATATAAAATTGTGAAGTGTAGAATTTTATTTTAGAGATTATGACATCATAAATTAACTAAAAATGCTACTCTTCCACATAATTTCAATCACCTAATAATTTTTTTAATTATTAGAGATTATGAATTTATGACGTCAAAAATTAACTAAAAATATTAGAATACTTTATTTATTCACTCAGGTTTCTATCAATGAGCATGTAGTGGGTTTAACAGAACTAATTGAGTGATCGTATTTATTCTAACAATATTAGAATGGGATTTATTGGACGTATCTATCTTGAAAGAAAAATGGTTTTAACTTTTTGAAATATTGAAATGTGTTTTGAGCCATGAAATCCAACTACTTGTACTTTTTATTCCTTAAAAAGAGGTTACCGACGTCAACTAATAATTATTAAGCAACAAATATTAAATTAGCAAAAAGAAAACGCACTTGAATAGATGTTCTGCACTTAAGTCATGGTTGGCTAGTGCTTTGGACCATTTTATTTTTTCGAAAGCATCTTAAATTAACCATTCAGCAATAAAATAATTATAAAGATTCTATTTAACTACATGTTAACATTAACAAAAAAATTCTGAGTTTTATTTATGTACGATTTTAATTGTAACAAATTATGTGTCTTATTTTAATTGTAACAAATTATGCGTCTTATGCCATGGTTGCACACTTTGGTGCTTTTCAAAAGCCCCACCACTTTGGTGCTTTTCCGACAGAAACATTAGAATATATTAGAGATGAGATTACCCTACATTCTGGTGTAGTTATCCTTAATCACCCACTGGGCCACAACTTTACCACATTATCATGTCTTACCAATAGACTACCTACAAAGGCCTTGAGAAAACTTACTCCTCTTTTTCATGCCTTTCACAACTCCTTAGTTTATTACAAATCCATAAAACTCTTTGGATATGTTTGCTTTTCTTCCCTAAAACCTTATAATCAAATTAAATTTTAGTTTAGGAGCTCTGAATGTGTTTTCTTAGGTGTCTCTTCCCAACATAAAGGTTTTAAATGGAAATTTTTTTATATCAATGGATATGATATGTTCCACTCACATGCTCTCAATACAAGTATTGACTTTAAGAGCCCTAAAACTATCTCAATTCAAGCATGCCACAACCTCACGTATCTCAGTCTACTAATGAGCCTATACCTCAATATGGCCAAGAGCTGCACACATACATCAATCGCTTTCATTTCACAGTAGTAGACCACAAATTTCACTATTTGTTAGACATGTGGCTCCACACGCGAGTGGGGAGGAGGGGTGAATTATGTTTTACCAAAAAAAAGGTTGTTTGAAAAAATTTTATAATTATTTTTTAGAGTTTAAAAATAATTTTGAAAATTTAAGAGCTTTTAGTAGGTTGAACTCTCGAACTTTCATATATAAGAAAAATTGAAATTTCAGAGTAACTTCAAACCAAATAGTGAACACTGGAGAGAGGTTGTTAGTCTTTCTTTCAACAATAGCTTGAAGCGGCTAGTTCTCAAGTAAAATCGAGATTTTTTACATGCTTATCTCAAACTAAAGTGAGATTTTAAACGGGACTGAATTCATGAAATTCGTGAACTGAATCGAAACGAACCATAAAGATTTTTAACTAAATTTATCTCGAACCAAAGAAAGACAAGGGTGAATTTACGAACCGAATCGAGGTTTTTATCAGGATAACTACAAAATAATTTAAGATTTTGAACCAGGCCGATCTCTAACCAAAATAATCTTTTGACTAGGCTAATCTTACGAATTGAACGATGACTTAGAATATAAATCTGCTATGAAAAAATTATTCAATCAAGATAAGAAATTACTTGAATTTACAACTATACTTTCACATTTACAAAGATGTCTCACCAAATAAAAAAACTTCTTTGAAGTGCTACGGCTAAATTTAAACGAGAAAAGTTAAAATATTTTAGAGAGTGAGGTGTGAGATAGAATGCTCATGATTCTAAATGCGAAAATGTGAAGGTAAGGGTGGCAAAAAAAAAAAAAAAAACATTTTGGGCCAAAATTAGCTTGCCAATCGTTTGGTATCATATATTCCAATAGATTGAAATATCTCAAAATAAACTTTTAGGTTATGTTAAAAGGAGAGAAAGGAGATATATAATCGTTTTCGTTCATTAAGTCGATGTACTATACATTTAAGGATAATTTTTGCACTAACTCAATCGATTGGGTATAAGGTCCAAATGATTGGACAATATAAATTTTGTCCAAAAACATTCACACATATTCAACCGACACGACTTCAAAGCCTTTTTAGGAATGATTCTTTAAGAAAAATAGGCTTGAAAACATATGTTAGTGTGTGAGACTTTACAAAAAAAATCACTTATGCTATTACAACATAATGTTCTCTCATATGTGGCAGGACGATTTTTCACACTCTCTCTTTTAGAATTTGTCAAGTAATCCAATCATATAAACACTTGCTTGAATTCTTCTTGAAGACAGGGTTTGAGTTTTATTCTAATTGAGTATCCTCATCATCAGAGGATATTTGTAGTGATCATCAATACCCTACTTCTTCTGTTTGCATCTTTGACTGTTACTTATGTTTGCATTTAGTTGTTATCATCAAAAGCATATTCATCATTAAGAACATGTTATCGAGATTTTTCGTGATTATTTAACCTGCAAACCATGGTTTCCTAATCCTAGCTTAAAGAAAAACAAATAACTCCAAGGCAAAGGTTTTTCTTGTCCATGTTGAGCCCACTTTTGTCAAGAATGTCTTATCTTACCCTCAACAGGGGCCAAGCAAGTTGAGTATAATGCTTTAGTCATTAGCCACACTTGGACACACATCCCCTACCTCTACATAGAAAATTTATGGGTTGTAAGGGGATTTTCATAAGTATAAATCAAGGTTAGTTGCAAAAGGTTACCTGTAACAACAAAAGTTTGATTCTAATAAACTCTTTTCACTAGTAGTTAAGCCCGCCACCATCTAAGTTGTTTTTACATTGGTTATCACACACAAATGGGACATTCATAAAATTGACATTAATAATGTCTTCTTGAATGGCATCTTATCAGAGGAACAATTTATGCAAGAACCTCCAGGATTTGTCCTCAAGGACAAGAGTCTAGTATGCAAACTCAATAACGCACTATGTGGGTTCAAACAAGATCCTAGAGTTTTGTATGAAAAGCTTTATCAATCCCGTATTCAAGTTGTATGCTCTAGTTTATGTAGATGTCATTACTAAAAAACCATATTTAGTTTTGGACGTGAAATCAATTTAATCTTGGTTACAAATGCGAGGTAACGAAGGGTGTTATGATAAATTTCCAATTTATCTCTCGGTTTTCACTTTACCCTTTGTTGTGATATTTGAAATGGTCGTTGGTTCGATTCTCAACAATGGTTTTTTTATACTTTCAAAACTAACGTCACATACCTCTTGGTTTATGACCAAAATCAAGGAGATATATATAAGTAAGATTTAAGGTAAAACTTTATTAATGAGTGCTTTTATAGTAAAATAGTAAAATCTGATTATCCAATCACTCAATTATTAAAGAAATAGAAGGAATAGATCATTTAGTTTACAAATAAAAATAAAATAAAAAGAAAGACATTACTTTTAAAGAAATAGAAACATAAACTGTATTTGCTGAAATTCGAAACATGTCTTAAATTATTTTTTTTCCTAGGTTATATTATGAAACTAAGGGATTATGTGGTATTTATTTAAAAATAAATAAAACATGACACATTTTGACATTATATTTTGGTTTTTTGTTGTGTGAGGTAATTTTTTATTATGAAATGTATTATTTGTAGTAGTGTGCATATGATTCTTGTAATTTTTTCTTTCTCTAAAATGCTACATGACCTCATCAAATAACTTCATGATAAGTTTTCTAAGCATGGAAGTCACCTTTCAAGCTAATGGCTCACAACTATTAATTCAATCTAAATATGTCAAAATATCTCTTTTGCAAATATGTCAAAAGATATGTTGTAAGGGTAACATATATGATGCAAAAGGTGTCTCTACACCCTTGCTCAATCACTGTAAAATGAGTAAAAATGGAAATGATATATATATATATATATATATATATATATATATATATATATATATATATATATATATATATATATATATATATATATATATATATATATATATATATATATATATATATATATATATATATATATATATATATATATATATATATATCCTTTAGAGGTCCTCCAATATATAACTTTCACGAGACAAGATCTTCTTATGCCAACTCTTATGAATAAATAATTCACCATTCAAAATAGAAGGCGCAACTTGTTGCCAGCTGGACTTTCCTTTCTGTATTGACTTAATTATCTTAATAAAAAATTTTAAGACGAATAAAATGAGAAATAAGAGTTGAACTATTTATATTGACGGATGCACATCAGGCTCATGTGTGTGCTTTGAACCATATCTAGTTTCTTGAATGCCTAAGATACAATCTCTAGTAACACGATTTAATGTTAAAATTGAATATCGTGGTCTTACACACATCACATTTGAAGTCCTTTTGTTGGAATCTCTTCTCACTTAACTTCATGTATCTTTTTTCCATAATCCGGTGCTCTATGCACTTACAAAGCACTTTGAGTTGCACATATACTTTGTTAGGGAAAGAGTAACAGAAAAGGCTAGCCAAGCATGTTCCTGCCTCTGCTCGTTGACGCTCATAACTTCTCAAAACTTGCATCTCAAGCTTAAAGTGGTTTGTTTAAATCCAATTTAATCTTATGGGGAGAGTAATAGAGATATAGATCAACAATAATTGGTTAGTGTTAGTTAGAATTAGTTGAGTTTGTTAAGAGTTATTTCAGTTGTGTAACAAACTCTATGATTTGTACACTACAAAAAAAATCTCATTTGCGACGTAAAATTTATGTCACAACGTGAAAAATCATGTTACTACAATTAATTTGTGACATGAACAATCACGTGGCTGGGGAGTTGGTGGTAAATTTATTATAACGTAATTTTCATGTCACGTGAAAATCACGTCGCAACTTGCTTGCACATAAATTCTGGAATTACAGTGGCATCAAGCGTAGCAGGTGCAGAAGTCAAAGCATCACTTTATTTGTCACGTAATTTTTACGTCACAAATTACTGACGTGAAAATCACGTCACAAAATAGTTACATTTAACAACCAACGTTCTATTCATACAATGCAACTTCTTAGTGTTAGCTCGGCACACCTTGTTAAATTTGAAGAATATCGACCTGACATTCTCAAATATATTAACCATCGACAAACCACTTTAACTTCTTGGGAAGTCAAACTAAAACAAACCTTGAGTTTTAATAATTTTTCATTCGGTTGAGGCTTCAACTCTAATTCTTTCCGGTTACATCAAATTTTCATGTCCTGTCTAGCCTTCTGATTATCTTTTGTTTTGTCTTTAACATCCATTACTGTGTTAAATACATTATCAAAAAAATTCTTCTCAATATGTATAACATCAAGATTGTGACCCAATAAATTATCTTTCCAATACGGGAGGTCCTAAAATATATTTCTTTTTTTTCAATTGTGTGTGACTCCATATCCTTCAATTCTACATGCTTTGTCAATATCTGTAAATTTTGGTAGTTCACAAACTTGGTTTCATATATTATCTGGTGACAATCGAGGCGGTGGCAGATCTGTTACTCGTCTGTCGTTTTTAAAATTTGTCTTGATTCTTCTATAGGGATGATTTGTTGGTAGGAATATGCGGTGACAGTCAAACCACGAGTTTTTTTCACTTTATCCAACGTAAACGCTTTGGTGTATACATGCAATGCGGATAACCTATTTTTTCACGTGTATCCCAACCAGACAACATGTCATATGTCGGGAAGTCATTAGTGGTCCACATCAAGGCAGTTCGCAAAGTAAAGTTTTGTTTACGGGATATATCATAAGTCTATTCTCCAATCCACAATCTCTTCAAATCATCAATTAAAGGTTGTAAGTACACATTGATTCTGGCTTTTGGACACGATTCCTCTAGAATGACACACGTCAAAAACATGTATGATTTTGTCATACACATCTCAAGAGGGAGGTTGTAAGGGATTATAATAACTGGCCAACAAAAATACGCACTTTCCGACGCTTGCACATATGGGGCAAAATCATCAGAGCGTAATTCAAGCTTGACATTTTTAGGTTCTGCGGCAAAATCAGGATGTGTCTGATCAAAGTACTTCCATGCCTCGTCATCAGATGGATGTCGCATGGTGCCTGGACTTATTTGGTTCGTATGATGCCATGTCATTTGACTTGCATTATGCATTGAAGCAAACATTCTTTTTAACCTTGGTATTATTGGAAGATAAAACACAAACTTTACTGCTACACGCTTTTATTTGTTGTTAATGGCTCTACTTCGAACTTGATATCTTAGACTCTTACAAAATTTGCATTCCTCCAACAATCCATCTTGAGTACCAACCTCATTGTCATAAAACAACATGTAATCACTATTGCAACAATCAATCTTTCTTATTTTTAAACCTAACTTTGACACCCATTTCTTTGCATCATAAAAATTCGTAGGCAAGATGTCTTTGTTACGGTGGAGTTCAACATCATTTTTGTGAAATATTCCAAATACAGATCAGGAACATTCAATTTGACTTGACAATTAATAATCTCACACAATGATAACTTTGAGTCTGACGACCCCTCGAACGACGACATATTCATCTCATTCAACAACTGATAAAATTTCCGCGCTTCCTCATTCGGCGACTCTTCTCCGTCAAAATCTTCAGATTGATCATATTTCACGTTCACACCAAAAGCATCCTCAACCATCTCACCGATCAGATTAAAGGTTTCCCCATATTCTAAGACGGCCGACTACTTGAAACATGTGTGTTGCTAGTCTCTGGTACGTTACTCGGCAGTTCTACATCATTATACGTCCAAACTCAATAATTTTTAGTGAAATCACTTCTATGCAAATGACGTGCTACTTCTTCCAGGTTACTAATTATTGATCTACATTCACATTTAAGACAGAGACACCTAACTCCTCATTCGCTTCAACAACATTTCTGAGAAAACGCTCACGTGATAAACCCATTAACTCCTTTTATAAAATGGAGTTTAAGTGCACGTCTTCCTAAACACAATCTATCGTACATTCAACTATGACTATATAGATAATATTTCATATTGTACATTTATACAATATATATATTTATACATTTATACATTTATACAATATATACATTTATACATTTATACATTTATACAATATATATATATATATATATATATATATATATATATATATATATATATATATATATATATATATATATATATATATATATATATATATATATATATATATATATATATATATATATATATATATATATACATATATATGTACATATATGTACATATACATATATATGTACATATATGTATATATATACATATATATATATATGTATATATATATATATGTATATATATGTATATATGTATATATATGTATATATATATATATGTATATATATATATATGTATATATATGTATATATATATATATATATATATATATATATATATATATATATATATATATATATATATATAATTAAAAATTACATAAATACCTTTTCTTCGATCTCCTTTGATCAATCTTCTTCTTTAATTTTTTTTCCTAAACTCTCTTCAATTTTGACAAAATAAATTAAATCGAAATTTTAATTAGAAAATATAATAAAAAATAAACAAAATTATATAAATATATTGAATTTAATTATATAAAACAGTTACCTATATCAATAAAATTGCAGAATTTGAAAAGATTTGAGAAAGATTTACAGTGGAGGTGTGGAACAAAGGAAAGAGAGAAGGAAACAAAGAAGAAACAAAAGCGCAAGGATATGGATCTGTGAACGGGATTCTTATGTATATACGTCACGTAGCGTCATGAAAATCACGTTGCAATCTTGCCACGTGAGATTCACGTCGCAACACACCTAATGGTAAAAAATATTATTTGCTCGGTCTGCACAACTCTGAACCAAGTCAATTCTTAGTCAGATATTTCTCCCCTCAAATGTTGTGATGTGATAATCACGTCACAATTAAATTTTTAAAAATTTTTAAAATCCCTTCGTCTGAACGTTAGAGTCTTTTTTTTTATATTAACTTTTTAGTTGTGACGTGAATCTCATGTCGTAAATATTTTTATTTAAAAAAAAACTCTGAATTTCACCATGTTAACGTTATCTTTATTTTTTTAATATTAAAAGTTTTTGTGATGTGATTATCACGTTGTAATAATTTTTTTTAACTATATGATAGTCACGTCACAACTTTATGTCGCTGGGAAATTAGTGGTACTACTCATTGTATTAAATGAGATGTAATCGATTCAATAGTTATATGAACTCATTGAAACTCAATTCCATTGTAGGATTGAGAAGTGATATTTAAGAAATTTAAATTGATAATTTAAAAAATAAAACATATAATAGATTAAAAATTATTGGTGAATAAAAAAAAGTAACTCACATGTTTGACATATAACTAGATTATGCGTGGTTTGGTTTAATTATATTGTCTTTTTTATTTTAACTTACTCATTGAACTAATCTCACTAGTTCAAATTCAAATAGTTTTAGTTTTCTCTCATATTTTTACATCACTTATATTTCTCATGTGTCACGTTTCACAAGAATTTTATGATTATTTATCACATTCTACAGTTATTTGTCATCAATTTTGAGTGCAAATAAACAAGAGTGAAATAGAAAAAAAGGTTAAAAATTTACAAGAGTAGGATAAAATCGTTTGAATTTGAAATATGAGTTAAAGTAGATATCAAATTGTAATTAAACTTCTTATTGGGTCTATACTCTATAGAATAGTTGCACTATTTCATTCTATGATACTTTATTCTATAAATATATGCAGGATTACACCGGTGACTTCGTGACAGCTGAGAACCTATATGCCGTTATACTTGGGGACAAGAGTAAAGTTAGGGGTGGAAGTGGCAAAGTGATCAACAGCAAACCAGAGGATAGAATATTTATATATTACTCTGATCATGGAGGCCCCGGAGTCCTTGGTGAGTCAAGCACCTAAGCATAGATTTTAGTAACTAGCTTTATCTTGCACAGAAATCACATATAGTGATTCTCATTTTCAATGCAGGGATGCCAAATATGCCATATGTATATGCTATGGATTTCATTGATGTTTTGAAAAAGAAACATGCATCTAGAGGTTACAAAGAGATGGTAAGATAGCATCTCTCGTGTAAAATATTACTAGAAATGATGTTTGTTTATGTAAAGTCATGGAGGTATTATTTTGTATAGGTTATATATGTTGAAGCTTGTGAAAGTGGTAGCATTTTTGAAGGTATAATGCCGAAGGATATAAACGTTTATGTAACAACTGCGTCCAATGCGCAAGAGAATAGTTGGGGAACTTACTGTCCTGGTGTGGATCCTGCTCCACCTCCCGAGTACATCACTTGCCTCGGCGATTTGTATAGCGTTGCATGGTTGGAAGATAGGTACTATCGCCTTTTCTAATTTTGATGAACCTTATGCAGTTGTAAAATTTTTAAACCGTCAATCAAACACAATCGGTGTCTTTTGAATTATGCAGTGAGACGCACAATCTAAAAAGGGAAACGGTGCAGCAACAATACATGTTGGTAAGATAATTTTTTCGATGTTATAGCAATGTTGCTTTTCAGGATTAGCAATGAGGGAGAAAAATCATGTTTGAATTTGTTATGCAGGTGAAGGAACGGACTTCAAATTACAACTACAATTTAGGTTCTCATGTGATGCAATATGGCGATACCAATATAACCGATGAAAAGCTTTATTTATACCATGGTTTTGATCCTGCAACAGTGAACCTTCCTCCAAACAATGGCAGACTAGAAGCTAAAATGGAAGTTGTAAACCAAAGAGATGCAGAGATTCTCTTCATGTGGCAAATGGTATATATTCTCTTCAACCTCGAGTTTTAATATACGAAAACTTCGCTCAAATGATTGATTCTGTACCGAGAATACATAAATTGTTCACTTTTCTTTCAGTATCAGAGATTACACCATCAACCAGAAAAGAAGAGAGACATTCTCGAAAAGATTTCCGAGACAGTGAAACATAGGAATCATTTAGATGGTAGTGTGGAATTGATTGGAGTTTTATTGTTTGGTCCAACAAAAGGCTCTTCAGTTCTACGATCCGTTAGAGCTTCTGGTTTGCCTCTTGTTGATGACTGGGAATGCTTAAAATCAAGGGTAAAATATAAACAAATAACTGAATTTTCTTATTGTTATTATTACATTATTGATTGACGTTGAATTTGGTTCGTAGGTTCGGATGTTCGAAGCTCATTGTGGTTCACTGACTCAGTATGGGATGAAACACATGCGGGCATTTGCGAACATTTGCAACAGCGGTATTTCCGAGGATTCGATGGAGGAGGCATGTATGGCAGCATGTGGTGGTTATGATGTAGGGCTATTACATCCATCAAACAAAGGTTATAGTGCTTGAATGGTCTGTGCTTCTTGTCTAAAATTAAAACCTGTTATCTAAAGGTTATAATGTGTAGCGTTTGTGTTTTGGTTGTGAAAGAGAAAGCAGGAAGCATAGGGTAAGGGTAAGGTAGTAACTTTGAAAATATGAATAGAATGGAAAATGAATCACACCTCAATCCAGCCCAAGATTTGTGGATAATGTTATTAAGTATTTGGCAATGTATACAAATGTGTAATAATTTTCCAATAAATAAGACTGTTAAATTAGATATTAGCCTATTAATCTAATCTTTTATGAAAACTATTAATTGTTTTTGTTTGTTTTATATTGCCTTTAATTTATATTTTTACTATAGAATGAATTTAAATAGAATTAGTTAGTGATGTTATACAACTTTCTGTTACTATCTAGTAATAGAGTTAGTTACAAAGCTAGAGCCAGAGTTTGTTATCTTTATAAAGTTTTATTAAGAATAATTTCTTATCTTTGTGGTTTACTTTTTCTTTTATGGCATAAGAACAAGGTTTTGATTTGGAAGAGAAATTAAAGAAGAAAAAAATACCTACTTACAAGTTTGAAACAATGAATACACTATTAGGTTATCTAAGCAACTCTCACAATTCTAAATCTCCACTCATGACAACATTGTTAAATGGAGAAAGTTATGGTATGTGGGCAAGATCAATCAACACATTTTTGTGTGCGAAGACGAAATTAGGTTTCATTGATGAAATCATCACTATTATAAAAAATGTATATAATATCGGTCACGAAGCAGATTTGGTTATATAGACGAGATAACGAAGGACGTCATGAAACCTTGTCATAATATCTTTCGGTTTTGAAATAGTTTAGAGAAAAAGTGTTCTTTACATAGATTTACATAGATTTGATTCTCGTGAAGATCTTTTTGGAATTTTTTAATGATAAAAACACATTTTCTTTCTGGTTTGACATTCCACTGATTTAACACCTTTCACATCGGTTTTAATATAACACTGATAAATAAAATACAATTAAGTTTAATAAATCTGCCGGGTTTCTTATTTCACTAAATTCTAATTGAACATATAATTTCTCAAAATTGGTTAAGAAAATAATTATGTGAATAATTGTGTTATATTTGATGAACAACTTATTCTAATTAATATTTTTCAAATATTCTACAACACATCATTCATCTTACTTTTTTTAACGGTTAAAATCTTTTTAATATTTCAAGTTCTTTATTCAACAATTATGGAAGAAAGTTGAATGAAAATTAAAAGTATTGGAGAGATTTTTACTGTAAAAGAACATGAGATGAACAATGAGTTGACGAATGTTAGAAAAATATTAATCAGTGTAAGATATGTTTCAAATATATTATTTTTCATATGATTAATTCTAAAATTAATTTGATAGGTTATATGTTCAAGAGGTGTTATTGAAATAAATAATAGACATTAGATATAATAAACTCAACTCAAAAGAATAAAACTTAGAGTTGCATAAATAATCCCAAAAAAATATAAACTCAATATCAATCTAAAACTCAACAACAAACACCAACATCAACAATAACATCAACAACATCTATACTGAATCTCAACAACAAAAATATCAATAAACATATATATAATACAGTGAGAGAACTGAATTTTTTGGTTTTATCGCAAATGTTGTGGTTAGCAAGAGTCGCCACCGACTTTTCTTTTGTCCAACAATTAGGAAATGTGAAAAGAACAGGAAATATATTTGATAGATTTTGAGTCCGGGAGGTAAATTATGAAAAGGAAAGGTGTTAGCATCCTTTTTATCCATAGTTATATACGGGCTTTTAATTGCTAGCTCACTTTTAAACACTTGCTTTGTGTGTAATTTGAAAATATTTTTTTGAAAAATCAAAGTACGACTAACTTTGTAATGATTCTAGTATCAGTCCTCATGTACAAAGTGTTTGAAAATGTTTGTTTTGAAAAGGTAATGTGTGAAATGTTTATTTTTTAGAAAAGAGTTATGAGCAAGCGACTAATATTTCTTACCCACTCAAGGTCGTTCTTATTATTTTCCTTCTCCTTCAGAGATAGTGCTATTCGTACCATTAGTTGGTAGGTAGCCCTATCTATTGGATGTCAAGGGACAGACGAAGGGTCGTTGAATGATCATAGAAAGAAACTTGTAAGGATACTTTATCAATTCGAAAGGACTGTCATCATATTATCCGTAGGCAACAAGGGACTAGATCATTTTTCATAGGTAACTCGAGAGACATCACGGGATCATAATCTTTATTCGAAGAGACTATGATGATTTAATCAAGGATCTTTGTTAAAATACCTTTACTTTTGAGGGACATGACCAAGTTTTTTGAAGGCCATAGAGGGAATTATCCTAGAGGTGTGAGTGTGTGCAGTGTATTGTTTCAGTTATATTTATCTTAGAAGTTGAGGTTTTCTATGTTTGATTTTATCTTACCATACAATCCTATTAACTAACAGTTATAAGTACAAAAATAAAACGCGAGGCCTATAACTATTACAGGACTTTGGTACAGTTACATGATAAAGAAATTGTATAGAAATTTAAACTTGGTTATTATAAAAAAATGTGCGACCTATACAATTTTTCTAGGAATTTAAACGAAAAAATGAATAAAAATGTAAGAAAGATTATTTTTTAATGTCCTAAAATCTAAAATATTAGAAAACAAATTTTTGTGTATTTTTGATTTGATTTTATATGTTAATAATAAAAAGGAAACTAATATCCAATTAATTATAAATTAATTAATTTAATTGTAAAAAAAACCTAATTCTAAATTAATTAAATTAATTGATAAAAAAAGACTAAACCTGATTTTTTTTTATAAGTTTTTTCTGATTTTTTTTTTAATTAAAAAAGAAAGTTAATTAATAACAAATAAATAAATAAAAGGAAAAAGAAGAACATAAAGTAAAAAAAAGGGTTTGACATCGCTAGGGTTTGAACCCCCTCCCTTCTCTTCACACTCTTAGTTCTTTACCACTAGGCCATTACATGTTTCTCTTTATACATTCAACCAGCAATCCATATAAAATAAATAAACAATTAAAATTATCAATTAATACAACGCGCGCTCAAGTGGGCCTTTATGTTTTTGAATGGACGAATCAGGATGCACCATTGTGCCACGCATGTCCTCAGGCGAGTCCAACCACCCCTCACGGTGGTCAACTCCATCTTCTCCGGTGAGGGAAATTTGGATCTGCAGGAATATGATGGATCAATGGAAAAAAGACCGTGACCCCCCCTAATTCGAGGTCTGTGAATTGAATGGCACCCTACGTTTAGCCTAAAAATGTCTGTAAACAGAGTTTCAAAGAAAGCAACAGTTCGGGCCCTAATGATGGTAGATCATGTTCTCTACGTTAGAGCTTGATCCTTTTGGTTCAAACCTGTCTCACACATCATGTTAAACACATTTTGGCAATCAAAAGTAAATAATAATGCATAGATTGACAAATTCGAATTGAGAAACTTTTACCGAACTGATGGGCTTGAGTGTGGTGTTTTGGACATGGAATAGAATGCTTCTTGGCTTGGATGAATTCTTGGGAACTTCAAGAGGATGATTCAATCCTTGGTCTGGATTGAAACAAGCTAGAATTCAGAATACAAATTTTGTACTTTTCTTTGAATTTTATGAATTTGGAACCTTAATGTTTTAGCAGCCTATGCGTGTCCCTTGGCATTTGAATGTCTTGCGTATATATAGAGGATGGCATTAGCTCAAACAAATGAGGAAAATACCATGTGAACAATGCATTATCAAAACCACATGAAACATGTTTTTAAGTTTTCCAATTTGAGAGGGTTAAGTTTCAATCTTGTCTCCCACAGTTTTGCATGGTTGGCAATGAGTTATTGGGTCTCAAATCTGATCCAAAACCAAGCTCATATGCATTGGTCCATCATTTACTATTTTATTTAACTTATTTTGTATTTAATTGAATAAAAAAAATAAATGAAATAAAAATAAAAGATAATGCATGAATAGACTTATGGGTCTTTTATCATGTCATGAATATGTTTGAACCTAAAAAATTAGGTCCATTAGCCCACAATTTCAAAATTGATCAATGTGAGTTTCATGCATTTCTCAAAATTTGCTCAAATTGTACCAATTATAACTCTCTCAAATTTTATCATATGAAGGTGATCTTGGACTTTTTGGAAACTTCAAGATATCTCATACAACTTTCATGCTGGTCATTTTTTCATTTGAAGTCTTTATCATTTTTTATAAATTACTTTGACAAAAAATGTATTTTTATTGACTTTCAAAATGACTTGTAATGTTTTGGCTCATATCTCTCAAATGAAGCATTTTTGAACTTGAGCTTTGAGAGATAAAGTTGTAGAGAATTGAATTTCCTTCAAGGTATGTTTGGTTTAGAATTTTCTGATAAAGCATGTGAAAGTTATGCTTGGTCAAAGTTCAGTTGACTTCTTCTTAAGAAAAGTTCACAAAACCCTAATTTAGCAACTTTTGACTTTTGAGCAATCTTGAGTCAATTGTGATGAATCGTGATCAACCATTGATCAAATGACGAATCTGACCTCAAAATCTTGATGTTGACCAAAAATCTTGAAGTTTAACTGTATGTTGGCCACAATTGACTTTTTATCCAATATAGTTGATTTTCAATCATCTGAGCAATTGACTAAGCAAAATTGTGATGCAAGGCTTGAAACTGGTCATGAGGTTAGCTTAAAGCATATGGGGAACCATGAAATCCATTTGAGACATTAGAAGTTCAATTTTCTTTGAGGAAAGTCAAAACCTAGTTATAGGTCAACTGTTTAGGAGGAGGGTTTGTCTCGTTAACCCTTAAGTATTCTTGAGCAATTGAGAAACCTAGGAGCATGAGAAGGTGTCTTGAATAAATTGTCTTACAAAATGGGAGGGAAATTTTTTGGGTACAATAGCTTCCCCTGTTCAATCTTACTAAGCCTGAAGATTTAGATTGGCATGTCCGCTGTGATACGGTGGG